GTGAATTCGATTTAGTATGTACTTTGATACCATTTCTATACATTGACCAAGCACTACAAGTTTGACCTATCATTTAGAAGTGCTAGCTATTGGTGCTTTAAGTATTTTAGGCTGTAAACCATAACTCACTCTGCAGGACATTATCAGCAAACCCCTACTCCAATATATGCATTTCCACCCAAAACCACTTTTACCCACAGTTTTATCTAGGAACCACCAAACTAAACCCTCCTAAATTCTAACTAAGGAACAAGGCTCTCCATATTCTTCCTCTTGATGTCCATGGCAACTTCATTACTTATCAAGGAGAACCAATGATTTCTCTATCAGCACTCTAATAGGTCAAAATTCGTGCCTTAATGGAACATTACTTATCATAGTCAAAGTAATAAAGGTGAAATGCTTGTTGGTACCGATCTTTCCATTGAAGAACTCCTAAACGAACTTTAGTGAATCTCCTTTTATAATCTCTAGTAGAGTCCTACTTACAGTTCTAGTTTTTTTTAAAAAAGAAATCAATAACTAGTTTGGAGTGACTTTGAGTTTACATAGAAATCAATAAGTAGTTTGGAGGGTCTTTAAGTTTTTCTTTCTTTATCAATCGCGAAGTTAAATTAAAGGCTCGTTAAGAAAGAACCAAACGATCTATTATGTACTTAAACTTTTGATAAACTTTTCCATGATATTTCTGCATAGCATATCTGGAATTTATTCCAATAGAGCGCAGTTTCTAGTTTTCCATAACTTAAGAACTGTAAAATCTTACCCCATATTTTGTCAACACCAAAACTGTTAAAAAACATATTCAAATACAATTGCAATGCATAAACATGGCCAAAACTTATTTAAATAGCTCTACAGTGTACACAACCAGCAAGTACATAGCGACAAAATCCTGAACCTGGGCAATGAACCATAAAATTAGGACAAACTAATCTTTCAACATAGGAGCCTTCCTCCTCTGATAATATTTGGCAAAATGCTTTCTGGGTCTTCAAGACTCCTAACATCAGTTCCCTCCTCCAGTTGGCACTTGTCCTAAAGCACAGATTATGGATAGCACAAAGTCATTTGATCAGCCAACTCCCAAGAAGCATCCTCTGGTGAGAGGCCTTCTCAGTCAATCAAGACTTCATGTTTACCTTGGTGGAACTATGAACCTAATTGAGCTTGTGGAGTTGGGATAGGAACTGGTTGGTGGAAGATTTGGAATGACATTCTCCTGGCCATGAGATTTCTTCAAAAGTGAGACATGAAAAACAGGGTGCAAAGTAGAATCTGAAGGTAAAGCTAATTTATATGCAACTCCTCCAACACTTTCAACAGTGAGAAAAGACCCATAGAAACGTGAGGCTAACTTTTGAAGGCATTAGGCCTCCAAGAAATCTGCTGAAAATACTATAATTTGAGGAGAATCAAACCACCCACATTAAAATTAACCTTTCAATGATGTGATCATAAAAGTCTCTGGTTCGATCTTTGGCCAGGCGAAGACGTGTTCAAATTATGAAAATTTGTATCCCAAGTTGATTTTAAAATCAATTGCTTCTAAAGTAGAGAAACCCAAAGAATAAGAAAATAATCGTGGAACTGGCCCAACCACATATACCACTCTGAAAGGAGTAGCTTTCGGGGAAGTATGTAACTTGGTGCTGTAGCAATATTCAACCGAGCTACCAAATCCACCAACTAGGTGTTAGGACGATCGCTCGTAAAACAGTGCAAATACATCTCAACTATTCGATTAACCACCTCTGTTTGACTACCAATTTGAGGATGATAGGCAACATTAAAAAAGTTAACCATATTGACAAAATAATTCATTTTAAAACATACTTGTAAAAATAACACCAAATTCACTTATAGTAAATTCTGGCAATCCATGAAAATTGAAGATATGATCAAAGAAAGGGCAAGCAGTTGTTGTAGCAGTATATGGATGTTATAACGGCATAAAGTGAGCATATTTAAGATAATCAATTCACCATAACAAACAGACCATTCTTACCTCTTAAAGCGGGAAGGTTTTCCATAAAATCAAAAGAGACACATACTATACTTAATGGACACGGGTAGAGGTTGCAATAAACCAACAGGTTGAAGATGGCAAACTTTATTTTGTTGTTGACAAATAGAATAAGATCAAAGAAAAGTCACAAACTTGTTCAACCCCTTCCAATAAAAATTGGTAGGCAATCCCTTCAAATTCTCCTGAGAACCCTCATGAAATTGATTGTTGACAACTGTCTGGATGAACCAGTTTGGTCAAACCTAATTTAAATGTCAACTAGAGCACAATTTTGTTGATGCCCACTGGTGGGTCACATGTGCACGGGCTCCAAAGCACAAGTCAATGGAGAACCAGGAGTTGTCTCATCTAGCAATGGGAGTTACAAATCAGCATGTGGTATGAGAAGAGGCCGCATGAAAGACAGATTGCAAGAGCAGCAGCTGGCTTGTGCTTTTCGAGCAAGTGGCACCCTATTCGAGCGAATTTCATGGTTGAGCTTCAGATTTTGGCAAGTAGAAAGGTTCTAGTGCCAGCTATAGGGGTGTTTCCATTCCCAGCGAAGCAATGGCTAGCGATTTGAACTCAAGGCTGGGTTGCAAGTGTAGGGCCTTCCATTTCTTTTTTTCCAGACAGGTTTGGGGTGGTTTAGATGTAGGGAGTTGAGATTTTTGGTTCCAAACTTGTAGCTTTAGTACCAATTGATAAAGGATAAGTCAGAGTCAATTGCTACTTAGGGTTTAAGGTGAAAAGCTACACATCACACATAGGGTTTCTTAGACCTCACATCTAACACATCTGAATATCATATTAGGGGTTTGACTGCATCACAAAACTAAAAAAGCAAGAAAATTCTTAAAACATTTTATCCATAACAAAAATGCCTCAAAAAGTGAGATTACAGGACATTTATAACGACTTCTTATTAACCCTTCCCTAATAGGATTAAACTAAAAAATATTAATTCAAATAAGAATTGTATTCTATAATCTATTTAAGCAATTTAAACCTAACCCATCCTATATCACAAGCCCATGATCAGTCCTAAGATCCCCAATTGCAATTTGCAATCTCACTCTCGTCAAAAAATATCTTTAGCCTTCTAGCTTTAACCTTATCAATAGGGCACCATTCCAAACCCTCAAGACATACCTATTGGCTTATAGAAGGGGAAAAAGATCCTTATCATCAATTGGCATAGGTGCTAATGGCGAGATTGATTGTCCTTATGCTATCTACAAGAAAATTAGTCTCAAGTATTAAGGCCTTTGTTAATCAAGCCAACAGCCTAATTAGGCATTAAAATTTTAGGGTTCTTTGAGGAAAGAAATATCTTAAAATAAATAATTTAGTTTTAAAAGTCTATAAGCAAAATACCCTAACCATAAAGGGAAGACAAGTGAATATAGAAGAGAAATATATAAATTAATAGAAAAATTGATGAACATAAATTGAGGCAGCTAAGTGGTCTGAATTGCATTAACACATACCCAGTGATAAGTGTCCTTGCAAGAGCACACTCATGATTCTTCAATCGATGGCCTTCATCAACAATCATGTAGAACCAGTTAATTTTCTTCAAAAACGCTTTATCTCTCATGATAAGATCATAGTGAGTGATTAGTACATTAAATTTTCCTTCTCCGGATAACTCATCTCGCATTGCTTTTCTCTCATCTAAACGCCCATCATAGAGAACAGCGGCAATACTGTGCCAAGAAGAGAATACACAACAAGGTTTTAAAAAAATTAGCATAAGGATGCAAGCATACACATAAAAACTAATACAAATACAGATGCAAAAAAGCATGCAAGTGCAAATAGAAGCACATAGCCATGCGCGTCTGCATGCACAACCAGAAACATGACCACAGAATAAGAGAGAAAGAAAGATGTATATTTAAGTAAAGCTAGACACATACCTAGGGGCCCATGTTGAAAATTCATTTATCCAATTTGGTAGGACAGCTTTTGGAGCCACTATCAGGTGAGGCCCAGCCACACCCTTGTCTCCAAAAGATAAGCAATCAATGAAATAGTTTGTATTGTTTTTCCCAGACCCATCTCATCAGCTAAAATTCCATTCAGGTTGTTATTGAATAAAGAGAGCATCCATTGTAGTCCCTCTAACTGGTATGATCTTAATTCTCCACCTTGAAGAATGGATGGTTGCTCAGTAACCTATTCAAGAACAAAAAGTTTAGTAGATTCCCTAAATTTACTTGGGAATTTGAGATCAATGCTTTTGCTACACAAGGAATTCTCATGTAATAAAGGAGCACTTGCAATCATATTAGAGATTCAGAAAAAATTATCATTATCTGCGAGATAGAAAATCTAGACATACAGGCTCAGAACACACCTAAAATCAATCCAAACCACCAGGCCATTTTTTCGAGAGACAGCTCAATAATTATGCTCATTCAATAATATAATCGGAGTTGTAACAATAAAAAATGCATACCCCACTCAACAAAATGGTTAGAATTTTAAGAACAACAAAAGCATAGCGAAGAATCTACACAAGTTTGACGATCAATTAAGTTACAGCCGACAAACTGGGCAAGTATAGAGACTAAGGGAAAATCCAACAAGCCAAATCTCAAACAAAAGGTTTAAGACCTCCACCAGAAATGACATATTCAAAGAAGTGTAGAAAGGATTACAGATCAAGCCTTTATCTTTACCTTCTCCTGAATTGAGTGTATAGCCGAGTTGTATTGCCTCTGACCTTCCAGTAGGTCATTAGAGTCATCATTGTTATCAGAGTCTGTGATCTCTACATCTTTATCAGGAAATGAATCCTGAGGGGTTCCATCCTTTGGAGCATCCACCTCAGATAAATCAGATTCTGAGCCTTTGGAGGTTTCAATGCCATCTGACTGTTTAGCATCTTTCTGACGTTGAACAGCAGCTCCTAAATTAACAAGGAGCTTATTTGTTTCTTCAAGAAGTATGGTTAATCGTTCATTTTTGCTCTCCTTTACTAATCTCATGTATGCTTCTTGATCATCAGCTTTCAGAGCTTGAAACCTTAGTTTCTCTGCCCTTGTAGCACGTTGTCTTTGTCTTCCATGCCATGCCTATTGAAGTGCACGACATATTAGAGATCTATCACACATGATATATAGAGAGTA